ATGAAAACGTTTGGAGTAACGAGCCGACGCGTTAACCCTTTTCTTTATTTTTCTTCACAGCCGACAGTAAATGGGAGGAATTGCATCCTGAGGGAGAGAGACCACCGGCACTTCAGGAACACAGCGCGGTAGCTTACAAGGATTGCCTTTACATTTTCGGGGGAGAGCTTGGCTTTTCCGCGGGCACGGAAACGCCACTCTGGGTTTACAATGTCAAGGTAACGTATCACCCAAGGCGAACCCGGATCGCACCCCCTCTTTTTCAAAGAAGCTTTCAAGAACGTGTCGAGGTGAACTTCGTTCGATCGAAAGGAACGAAACCTGCACGACGTAATCTTGTCGTTCGGTCGGGGGGATTTCTGTGCGTTTGCGGGGAAATTAAACACGCAACATCTTTGCACGTCATATTTGCAAAAATATGCATGTATACGAAATGTCTGAAGTACTCTTGACGATTTTTAACAATTCAAAACAGTTTTTTTTTTTTTTCGTTCGCGAAAATATTAATTCATAATTATTTGTAAATGTGCTAGTTTACTTGTAAATAAAAATTTGTTAGTGAACTAGATTACTATGAGAAATTAGATTTTATAGCGAAACTAGATTTTATAGAGTTGCAAAAAAAGCATGCACGTGATGCAGAAATCAAAATATTTGACGTATGATTGTTCATAACAGTTCCACGTTCAATTATATTCATGAAAATATAAATTTGCATAAATATTCGCGGCCTATTTTTAGATTAGATTGTAGTCGTTTTAACTCCGATTCAAATCTCAACTCAACGGAAAAATATGAAAAAATTTCAAGTTCTCGTGCTACGTTCAACAAAATGGAGTTCCAACTTATAAGTGTTAAGAAAAATTACCTATATAACATCAACGCCGCGTGTTAATACGAACATCTAATTTTTCCATTTGTACGAAACTTGTAAACGAGCGGTCCGCTGTGCGTACGGGTTAAACTCGTTAGTAAGATTTAGTTTCATTCGAGTTTAGGCGATTCGATTTGGCGAGGTTATGGTAGCCTCGAGGTATTTGGCCCCAACGACCTTGCAGCGAGGGTTTCGACACCCTCGGTTGAATAAACCAGACGAAGGAACATATTGGTTCCTTGATTGACAATATCTCGCTTCGATGCTTCAGTTTCGTTCACCGAAATTCGTTCGTAGGCAACTAAACGACGATTTTTGGCTACCAAGTTACACGAACAGGAGCATCAATCTTCTTGGTTGCTCGTTTGGAACGAGAGCTATTGTCTTCTTCCAAGTGTCCTTGCCACTAGAACGCAATTGTTCGGTATGCTTCTCTCATCGTTGTCCTTCGTTGTGGTTCGCTAGTTCCTGAACCCGACCCTCTCTCTTTCCGCTCCCCTAGAAGACAAGTTGTCATGTACATCCGATACATCCGGATGCTACTCCGTCCTTTCGTTCCTATCGATGTTGTGGTTTCCCGTGGGTGTTATTCTTTCATCTGTCTTCAGGCTGCCGCTTCTTGTATCGCTCCCTCGTACGACGAGTAACATCGTTAAGGCTCGCGTTTGTAACATGCGATATCATGTTCTGTATGTATAGGATGATCTCGAAATTGTGCTACAGTATCCGAACTAACGAGGCAGAGGAGAATGTTTGGTTAATGGAATTTTCGGATAATGGAACGATCACTTCTCTGATGTTAAAGCGCGTGTATCTAAATGGAGATCGGGAAAATTGTTAGTTTATATGTATATGATGGAATATTTCTTTTT